GGGTTTTGTGAAAATTGTAGTCACTCAATTTCGTGGATTTTATGAATGAGTTGCGGTTAGACACTAACACCGTTGGATGCTGGCCGGCTCACTGCTCTAGTGGTTAAGCGCTCGCGCTCCTGGGTTCGAATCTCGTGAGGAGGGATTGTGGATGCGTACTGCTGAGGAGCCCCACTATTGGGCGAAGCGGCCGTTTAGTGCTTCCAGGTTTTCCATGGTAGTCTGGCTTCAATTGACCCATGAACTCAACTATAGAAATAAATGTACTATTAAATATTAATTTTCTGAAATGAAAAGTTTCAACTTTCTAGTCTATTGCTATAGTATACACAAATAATTGATCGCTGAAAAGCAACCGATGTAATGGCTTCGCAGTCTTAAGTGTTATTCAAAATCAATCAATGAAGATACAACTTGGATACTAGTCATAGTGACCTGACATCAGGTTCACCATAGTAATTTGTTAGATGAATGTTGACAACCAATAGCAAACTTCGGACTAGTTGAAAACAAGAGTCCAGTCAATGATTCTCGATAAAGTTGATTTTAATCTTGTAGGTATCATTAATTCACCCAAGATTATGACTACGCCCTACTGACAAATGACAACTAGCACGAAACCTAGTTCCAAAGTTTTATGTCTACTACTTCTGTGATGTATGCTGAGAGTTCATTCACTACACTATCAACATTCCAATAGCTATAGCGTATGTTGTCCCTGAATTGTAAACATTTGAGACAACTGAGTTCATTTAACTGGATAAGTTTAATAGCACGATTCAAATATAGATTATAATAGATTGTTTTGAAGTTACTGGTATTAATATAAAAATGTGCCTACTACTGAATAAACATAGAGTATCTTCGAAAGATTTAACTAGATAAGCTAAAAAAGGTATGGTATACATTGTTTTCGAAACACCCATTTACTGGAACACAAATTATCATTACCACACTTTATTTTTCAAGTTAAGCCAAGAGTAACTATAGGCTCCTTCCAAGTGTAAATATAATGTACCAACTTTCTACTTAAAAGTGTCTCCATTGTTTGCCGAATTTATTGTAAAGAAGTCACATCCTAAAACACAAAGTAGTTTCTTTGGTTTAATTTCTCACCATATACTGAATACAGCGGGGTGGGACATGAAATGAATAAACGATACGAATATATCATATTAAGATTTGTATAAGCCATAGAAACCATAAAAATACAACAAAACCATTTTTTTAAAATTTGAAGTGCTTCGAATTATCTCGTTGTTGACATATGGGGATCCTGTGGGAGTTGCCTCAATACTAGCTAAAATGACACAAGGTAGTGTAGGATAGATGGCGTAAAGTTAAGAGTGGAATTCGGGATATATTTTTAATCCAGCTGACATGCCCCAAACAATCCTGTATTTCACTGCTAATCACTTTTTTTCTATAACAATCATTTGTATTCAAAACGAGTTAGTGGATAACCTTCAATGGCAATGCTAATTATACTTTTAAAAACGTGTAGCGGTAAATAAATCCCCAAAATCAATAGTTCTGTAATTTCTCTACATTTGATGATGACGACATTAGTTTTAATGGATTCACCTAGCTGAAGGCGTTCAGTCACACATCCGCATCAGATCAGGAGTGAATACGCCTTGCTCAACTTCTACAACTGTTAACCAGTTTAGATCGATCACTTCTCGATATATTAATAACCTATCACATATATCTTCCAACCTCTTCACTTCTGACTTTTGATCTCACTAGGTGGACATGATTCAGTTGCAGAAGGTGTTATTAGTTAAAGTGTTGTCAAACTACATATACCTACGGCGACTTCAACAGTTCATTTCTTAATTAATACATATATATTAATACTACAAACGAACTAAACTCTTAAATGTATCTGCGAGAAATCAAAGTCAACAAAGTATCTAATCTTAATCTTTAAACAGTTTTATTTTCGTTTTGTCTAATATTTGTGAATAGGAATAAATTTTATGGAAACAAAACAGAACAATATGATATCCATAAAATATGCTACTATTTATAACTGTAATCATAGTGATATAATGACCGATATAAGTTGATCGATTATTTTTTTTCATGTTCTCAGTTCATATCTTATCGGATTACATGGACTATATCAATATATATATGGTTTTAGTCTTTATTTTTTTATACTCTGATCAAATCAATAGTTTGTTTAAAAAATAGTTGAATTCATGAGTTAATTAAAGCTAGATCACCATGAGAACCTGAAAGCACTGGACAACAATTTCGTCCTAGTATTGGGATTCCTCAACCGTGCACATCCACAAATCCACCCGCAGGATACGAACCTAGAACCTATCGGTCTCGCGCATGAACGCCTAATCTCTAGACCGCTGAACTGGCCGGTATCCAATGGTGTTAATATGTAACCTTAACCAATCCATGAAACTGAGCCACTCTCCATAAATGTCTTCAGTGAATTATTACCTCAAAACAGACCCGGTTGAACTCCACTGGTAAAGGCTTCTCACTAGAACTCCGGGGAATACCTCTTGAAGCCAGTCACTAGTGAGCATAAGAAGATTATTATGAGGAGGTTTTGTCGAGATTTTAGTAATTTAATAGTTGAATTCATGAGTCAATTGAAGCTAGATCATCATAGAAAACCTGGAAACACTGGACGACCGTTTCGTCCAAGTATTGAGACTCCTTAACAGTTCACATCCACGATCCTGCCTATGTGCTTCTAACCCAGGAATTATCGGTCTTGTACAACTTCAACTAATCCACAAAATTGAGCGACACATCCACTATTGTTTTCAGTGAGTTACTATCTCACAAAAAACCTAGTTGAACTCCACTGGTCACAGCTTCTCGCTAGATAATAATTGGTTTTCAAAGTATTTACCTTAGTTAAAGACTAAAAAATCACTTGGTATTTTAACAGTTAGAGTTAATAAATTACACTTAATAGTACAGTCTAATTCGATATTTTACGTACAGACAGTTCTTATAAGAAAAACTACATATTCATAACGAAGTGTAATAATTAGTACAACTATAAAGTAGAAGCTACTTTTCTAAGAATAAAGCTAAAATTGGAGTATCAATCAATGAAAATTTATGGTTTCCTTGAAGACAATCAAATCAGGTAGAGAAAAAAAACACAACCTGAGTTACTGGTGATAAGTACTTATATATACTTACACCTATTACCCTTCATGGAGGAGAAAAGGTCGCCCATTAGAATTCACTATCGAATTCTGTCCCTGTTATATATACATATATATGATTCAGAAACTTCTGTTTACCATTATTATACTAAAACATTACGTATTCTTAAAGTCTTTCATATTACTAATTATTCGATTAGCTTATTACTCTACGTAATTAAGTAATACTGTTAAGTTTATTGAAGTTAAAAGTGGCCACTTTCTTAATTTTTTGAGAAAAAAGTATTAATCATGAGTTCATATTCAATTAAGAATGAAGGAAGATAAGAAGTAACAAATGATTTTCTTATCATAAACTGAAGCATTTGTAAGACAATCAGTGTATATTATAGGATAATCCTATGATAAAACGAAATACCGATCATATACTTTCAGTTTTCTGAAATACTACAACCATCATCAAGAAGGTACAAGTATTTATAAATGGTTGTCAACGCAAGATACTCAACATCTATTGACCAGGTACCATCAGCAACAGTCTACTGTGGGAGAGAACAAACCAGATTCTAGCTGAGGAGTTAATTAGAAAAAGACGATGGAAATAGATAGGACATCTATTACAGAAATCATCAAACTGTATCACAAGACAAGCCCTAACTTACAATCTTGAAGGGAAGCTTGAAAAGTGGAAGGCCGAAAAACACATTACATCGCAAAATAGAAGCAGATATGAAAAGGATGAATAACAACTGGAAAGAGCTGGAAACAATTTCCCAGAATAGGGTTGAATGGAGAGTGCTGATGGGCGTCCTATGCTCCTTGATGAGGAGTAATGAGAGTGAGTAAGTAGATTTTCTAAAAATTTTTATTTTGACTAAATTCACTCAGCATTATATGATATTTGTGTTATATTTATAAATCCTAAATATTCATATCTTAGAGAGAAAAAAATGATAGTTTTTTATCGGTGGGTTGCTTGAATATCTGAGCTATTTGTCCCTGACATCTAGATATTTCAACAAATTATCTCTCTTACATTTGTTTCAGTAGATCATTATATGAATTAGTCGCATAGCCTATTCAGGTGTGTTTCTGAAAAGTGTACAACCTTTCGTTGTACAAGTTACAGAAGTGCTTAATCCGAGACATTGTGGTTTCTGTTAATAAGCAGCGAAAAGAATGTATGTTATTTAGATGTCGGTTAACTGAACTGGTAACTTCTAACTAGCGACCATTCAATATTTATCGTCAAGATCAATCAGAAAGTAAGAAACGGAAACTTGTTGAAATATTTTGTGCTGAGAAATTTAAATAAAGTAGTCAATAATAATAATAACTCAAAATTCAATTTTTATAAATTTAATAGTTGAATTCATGAGTCAATTAAAGTTTGACTACCATAGAAAACCTAGTAGTATCAAACAACTGTTTCGTCCTAATATAAGACACTTCAGTAGTACGCATTATTTCTTAAGTAATAAAATATATCAGAAGAGATTTTGTAGAGATTGTAGTAATTTCAATAGTTGAGATCATGAATCAATTGAAGCTAGACCACTATTAAAAGCCTGGAAGCATTGGAATGTTATGCCATCCTATTGTTAGACAAATCTACGATCTCACCTAACAAGATTCAAACCCAGGACCTATCAGTCTCACCCTTGAATAATTAACTTCTAGTGCGAGACCGATCAGTCCTCGGTTCGAATCCCGAGAGGTGTGGTCATGGGTTCGCACTGCTGACGAGTCTAACACTACAACCTAACAGCCGTCCAATGCTTCCAAGTATTCCATGGTAGTTTAGTTTTAATTTACTCATGATCTTAACTACTGTAATAAAATATAACTTACCATCAGTATCATAATGATTCCATACTTCAACAAATTGTGCAGCAGTAAAATATTTTAATGAATTTGAATTAATATCTTTAAATTGTGCAAGAAAATTATCGGATTTTGATGATGTATTCATTTGAATGATTAAAATAATTATTGTAAATAATAATAATAATAATAATGGACTTTAATAATAAATAAACAAATTATTTATTTATTGATAGATGATACTACTCGTTTTGTATAAATATAAGTAGACTAATATACTTTGATTAACTTTTAGTTAATAGTTATTCTAATATGTGTAATGTGTATTACACTTCAATTAATGTTGATGTTGAATGTTGATGAGGATGTTGATGATGGTGATGGTGATGTTGAGAGTGATGATGTTGATAAGTGTATATTGAATAGATTGTTTTTATTATCATTATTATCAATATAAATTATTTAAATTGTTAATAGTTAAGATTTATGTACAATCTGATTCAATCTCTTTTTTAATAGGCTATTGAAAAATATTAAAAAAAGGTATTATTTATTTGAGATAATTTTTTGATTGGTTAATAAAATATTTATCTTATTCAAGGAATAAATAAGATTGACTAGACAAATTTATTCTTTTCATTTTGATATCTATTAATTCATATAGTTGAGATCATGAGTTATTTTGAAGCTAGATAACTATAGGAAACCTAGAAGAAATGGATGACCGTTTCGTCTTTGTATGGGACTCTTCAGTAGTGCGCATTCATGAACAAGTCGTACGAAATTCGAACTGAAGATATGAAAGCCTTACCTCTAAACCATTGAGCCGGCATCTAACGGTGCTACTGTGCAACTTTAACTAATCTACGAAATTGAGCGACACCAACAATTTTCATCAGTAAGTAATTATCTCACAACAGACCTGGTTGAACTCCACTGGTCACTGCTTCTCATTAAAACTCCAAGAAATACCTCTTGAAGTCAGTCACTAGTGTGCATATGTTGATTCATATCAGAATGGGTTTTTGTGAATATTATAATAATTTTAACAGTTGAGATCATGAGCCGATTTAACGTTAGACCACTGTGGAAGATTTGAAAGTATTAGACGGTCGTTTCAACTTAATATAGGACTCCTCAGCAGTGCGTACCCACGATCACACCTCACGAAATTCGAAACCAGAACTTATCAGTCTCGCGCGTGAACGCTTAATATCTAGACCACTAAATTGGTCAGCATTTCTAACTTCAACTAATCCACGAAATCGGGCGACACATCCACCAATGTTTTCAGGTTTTACATGGTGGTTTAGCTTCAAATGACTCATGGTCGCAACTATTAAAATTCATATATATATATTGAGAAAGTTGATATTTTTCCTGAAAATTTTTTTAGAAAAACAACTTTACATTGAATATATATTCATAAAATCAATTACGTGTGCTGCTGAGGAGTCTCATACTAGGTTGACTAGTGTTTCTAGGTTTACAGTGATCTCAATCAAAATCTTAGCAATCTTCACAACCCTATACTGATAATTAGTATATGTTCACTAGTGACTAGCTTCGTGAATGCATCCTTAGAGTTCTAGTGAGAAGCCATGGTCAGTGGAGCTAATCCGTTTCGGATGTGATGTAGTTATCTACCTCAGACAACGGAAGCTAGTCACTCAACTTCGGGGATTGGTTGAAGTTACATATTATTATTGTTGGATCCCGGCTCAGTGGTTTAGGGATTAAACATTTGCGCAAGATTGAAGGTTTTAGGTTGAAATCCTGCGTGCGAGATCGGCATATGAACTGCTGAGGAGTCCCATACTAGAATTCCAGTTTTTCAATGGTTGTCTAACATGGATTGGTTTATAATCTCAATTAGATTTCATTAATTAAAATAACTCATTGTGTCATTAAATAAAAAAGTGTTCGGCGAAGAAAATTTTCTTTTCGTCGAGATTATTTACTTAAGCTGTAGATTCGTATTTATCGTTATACGGAAAGGAAGGATAGAAGCATAGAAAAGATTGCATCATAAATTGATTCGAGACGCTTATTATCAAATGAGGTTACACATTTAACCTAGTCACTAAATTATTTTAGACTAATGGTCGATTGGCATTTTTTTCTGAGAAAGTAAATTAGCTTACATGGCTATTTAATACAGTACACTTTAGTTTGTAAACGTTCAGACTAATGAAATACATACAGGTCTCATAATATTGCCCAATTTCTAACAGTTTATAAACTTCAATGAATAACTGTTATTCATCAATGTTTCACTTATGAGCTTTATGTTTCCCTCAATAGTATCACCAGTGTGAATCCACGACTCCGCATAAAAGACTAGAACCCAGAACCTTTGGTTTCTCGGGCGAACTCAACCTGTAGATCACTGAACCAGTATCGAACGATGTTTATGTCTAGCTCCAATCGATCCATAATTGGCTCGTGAATTCAACTGTTAAAATAGAACTATCACCAAAAATTCCCATACTGATAAGATTTATTACATTGTGGAATCATAACAGTGAATTCTTTCACATTAAACATTAATTGAATCTTGATTCTTTATCCAGTAGGTGCTTAAAATTTACATAGTCAAAATGACTCAATCAGATCACAATAAAAAAAACAGTCCTAATTATTTAAACTTATATATTTTAAATCAAATTTAAGAAAAGACTTTTGAAAAGCTGAAAGCAGTTTTGCCTTAGTATGGGACTCCTCAGCAGTGCACATCCATGATCCCGCACAAGGAACTCAAACCCAAGAACTCCAGTCTCGTGAGCAAATGTTTAACTCTTTTAGAATACTCAGTCGGCATATTTTACATTACAGCTTTTCAGTTCAATCAAGCATTCTGTCATAGATTATGTCCACTTTGTATGATCATTTATGTTTTATTGTAATAAACATTCTATTCTTAAATAATAATATTTAACACTAATCTTAACAAATCGCAACATTGTTGAATAAGATTTGCAGAATACAATGAATTCATTCTATTTCAAACGTGATCATCATGTATGATATTTAGCACACTTATTAAGAAGGCATTAAGTTATCCGGTCGATAATATTAGGAATTGAAATTCGATCAGTTGCTTGGTGAACAATATATTGAGCGTTTGTAGAAAAAAGTTACTGGATGAGTCCCGGTGTTATCAATAATGCCGTGAGAAAGGTATGTTCAGCTGGTATGATCTAGATAGGACAAGATCTGTATTCTGGATTGTTCTGTTAGTCACAATACTCATGTTCTCATAAGCAGATATTGATCGTTTGTGTACATTACTTATAAATCTAGCTTGAAATTGTATGCGTTTGTTTTAATGTTATTCATAACTTCAAAACTATCGATGGATGTCACTAATTCAGAGTGTGTGTTTTAATGAAAAGTAATTTCTTTTTATCTAACTAAATCCACCAGATTTCGCCTATGAATACTTAATTGTTTAGAGAATTAACAAAATAAACTCCATCAACTTTGTAATAAGCTAGACTACTCTAACGGTTACCATAGCAATATAGATCTGAACATATTTGTTGGGATGTTAACAATGAAAATAGTAATTCATAAGAATCTTTTATTGAATTCAGTAGAAACATGAACATATATAACGCTCTTATGTGGCTTATTTTGTTTATGCATATAATTGATTTTTCCATTTTAAGTGTAAAAATATGCTGAACACAGTGAATTGTCATCGTGATTGTGGATCTATTCTTCTTGAAATCATACATCAAATCCATTTCTAGATCATGTGAGATATCTCCAAAAACGATTACGTATACTTTTGTAAGTATTTTCAGTACGTCAACAAAAAAGTATTTGAGTAACTAATCCTTAGACTTATGCATAGCTGTACATAATAGTTTTCATTATAAAAATCGATAAACTAAATCAAACATCCAGCTTCTATATCAGTATTTCAAAGGTATTAGGTAATTTTTCGGTAGTATACTTGCAAACAATGATTATCGTTTAATAGCTGAATTCACGAGTCAATTAAAGCTAGATCACTATGGAAAATCTGGAAGTAGTAGATGGCCGTTTAGTTCGAGTATGGGATTCCTCAACAGTAATCATTCACGATCCCGCCTCGTGAGATTTCAACCAAAAACGTATCAGATACACGCGCGAACACAACCTCTACACCACTGAGCCAGCATCCAACGGTATTAACGTCTAACTTTAATTAATCCACAAAGTTATTACCATTGTCCACCATTGTCATCAGTCAGTTACTGTCTCACAATAGACCTGTTTGAAGTCCACTAGTCACAAGTCATGAATTCAACTATTAAATTTATTATAATATCTACAAACATTCTCTTCACTTATTTACATGTTAAATAATGTTCTCTTGTTGTTTTGTTTCTTTTTTCGTAATGTACAAATGACCTTGATATCATGATAACACAATTTGATAATAAGCATTGAATACTTTAACATGCTTTGCACTTCTCTAATCTAAAGTTTTGGTTAATCTAATTAAATGAAACTTCCGGAAATCTAATTATTGGCATCATTTTCACAGGGTAGATTATAATAGAAGAAATGATGATCATTAATTTACAGTTTTAATTAAATTTTATAACAGTTTTGATTATTTAGCCAATTTTTTAAAGTAATAAATGTATTACAAATATAATTTAATTGGTTAATAAGTTAATGAAGTCGATTGGGTCATTATTGATTATAGGTGAAAACTATAAAATGAGAACGAGAAACTAAATAAAGGTAAGAACAATAAGATATTTTTGATTAAGATCATGAACCGATTGATGTTAGAACACCGTTGAAAACCTGAATGAACTGGACATCCGTTTCGTCCAAATGTTGTGACAAGTGGAGCTAGTCCTTGTCGGGTAGAGACAGGTATCTACTTCAGTACAATGGATGATTGTCGCGAAATTTCATGGATTGGTCGAGTTTAGACATTTACACCATTGGATACCGGCTCAGTGGTTCAGTAGGTTAAGCGTTCACGCATGAAACTGAAAACCTTGGGTTCGAATCCCGTGAGTGGGATCGTGGATGCACAGTGTTGAGCAGTTCCACAATAGAGCGAAACGGCCGTTCAGTGCTCTCAGGGTTTTAATGGTGGTCTAACATCAATCGGTTCATGATCTCAATCAAAAACATGAT